ATAAATTCATATTGGTATCATTTATAGGTTTACGCAATTTCAACCAAATACAAAAATAAAAATAGTATAAATAAATTCACTCATATTCGTTCGATTTCAAAATAAAATTTATGTTATAATGTCTACTTATGAAAGTATAATAACAATATGACTTCTTCCTTTTTTAATATTAAAACACCTAATTATGATTAATTATAATTTGATATAACATTAGGTGAGTAGTAATATTCAACTATTGTCAACTAATTTTGATGGAAAAGAATAGAAGGAGAAGAGGTACAATTTGTATTATACAATGTTGTTGACATTTTTAAGTAGGGGTCTGAAAGAGTACTTCACGACATTTGATGATGAAATCCTTATTGTTTGTTTATTTTTAATAATATACTAAAAGACAAAACAAAATACTTAAATAAACCAAAACTAAAAAAGAAGTATTAAAGCAAAAAATGGATAAAAACAACAAAAGTTGGGCCATATCAGGCCAATAAAGTGGGTTCTCTTGAAGCCTAGTATGTGGGCCCAACAATACTTATGGAGTAGGGCCCACTCAACTTCAAGCTCAAATTTAACTTTTCTCAAAGCCCCAATTTGTTTATTTTATTTTATTTTATATCTCTTTCTTTGTAGTATGAGTTTTTAATGTTCTTTTATTATTTTGAGATTGAGTTGATGTTCAATCTACTTTAAAATAAGTAGACCGCGTTATTTTTCTATATGCAAGTCTATTCATTGATTAAGAAAGTCCTATAAAATTCATCTTTGTTAATTTTATCGTAATTTTTTATTTTTTCGATATGTCAATTCTTGACTTTTAAATGATGGAATTGTCACAATAACTACTAGAAAGTACTATTATCTTTTTTTGTTGGAGAAAGACTTTATACACAACGTCAACTAACTTGTGAGAAAATAAGGAAAGCTAATTTAGAAAAGAGAAAAGAATCTTTTCATTGGTCTCAAAAAAATCATTTTGTCCCAAGGAATATAAATTTAGGTAAACCTATAAATAACAGTTTGGTCAAACTTATTTATTGTCTAAACTTATTTCCGATCTACTTTATTCAAAAAATATTTAGATCATATTCACTTCTTCTACCTTTTTTCCGCTCCATCCCAAGAGGATCGAATCAATATCAATAGTATTCTACTTACTTTACTGATCGATAATGAAAGTGATCAACCACTTAAAGCAACCCTCAGTATTTATCGGAGAAGAGACCTCTAGAGTATATATGCACCCTTTGAAGAAACCAATTGTAGCAAAGAGGGAGACAACTACTATAAATAGGGGTAGTTACATTTCATTATCAATTGTTTGGAGTTCGTGACCACCAAACATACATCTCCATCCAACAAATCACCTAAGATTCTTCAATTGATTCTAAATGGGGAAATTTTCAAAAAATATACGGACCAAAATATAATAATATTATATAAATTATCCTTGGAGAAAAATAGTATACATAATGTATCAACTTAGGATAAAATTGTATAATTGTGAACGAAAAATATTTATACACACAAATATGGACTAAATCGGATAACAAACTCAAAATAGACTACATGGCATAAATATTTTATACTCCATAAATTATCACTGCATAAATTTTTTAAATATAAATACAATGTTAACGTCAAAGCTATTGAATTATGTTGAATCTGTAACTTTAAGGCTGGCTACACTCATGGATAAAATTCTTTTATTCTTAACCAGAAATTTTGGTTCAAGCTTTAAGTATGAGAAAAAAAATCATTATAATGTGAGTTCAAGACATGGAAGGAAAACAAAAAAGTGATATCCTTAGAGATTGATGTATTAGATTATGTGCACCAAACATGAAACATAATAAATAAAAGAGGAGAAACAATAAGATAGAATGAAGAGTTTATCATAGACTATACAAGATACAACATGTCCCAACATGGAATTATAACATGGACAAAACATAATAGATAGATTGAGGTATGGCCCCAACAAGACTAAACAATTCAGGATATTTTCATACTCTTAACATTATTACAATTTGAAAAGAATTTTTTTAGAAAGCGAATCTAGCGTTCATAACAATATGAATCACTCATTGTTATTTTTTATAACAATAGTGTTCGAAATAATTTATATGATTAATTTTATGAAATAAATGTTACTTTTGATCACCATAAATATTGATTAACTATGTCCTTTTAAAAAAATTAACATTTATTCTATAGCCATGCTGGCGGGAAGTTTTTGAAGTTAGGGCAAATAGTCTTTTATTCCGTAATAAGATAAGTATTAAAAACACTCTTAAACTTGGCATGAATTATTACTTTAGTCCCTCAACTATTAACAGCCTTAAAAACACCACTCTACTTGATTAAGTGAATTTAAAAATACCTCTCTTATACCACATATGCATATATGTGGAATTTTCTGCTGACATGACATACACATAAATATATGTGATAGAAAAAATATTTAAAAAAACATTTAAATAATTAAATGCTAAGAATTAAGCAATTTAAGAAGATAAAAAGAACCTTATTTTTCTCATCACCTCACCCCATTTTCGACCTAATACCCCAACCTCACACCTCACTACCCATCAACTCCCAAAAAAAACTCTTTTAAACTTTTTTTTTGGCGGATAGTGGGGAGGCAGGGGGTGGGATAAGAAAAAAATATATTTCATTTTAAAAGTTTTTTTTGGAGGAGGGGTGGGGGACTCGGTGGTGTTGGATAAAAAGTTTTTTTAACAAAACTTTCAAAAAAAATTGGGGGTGAGGGGGTGAGTGGGGGGGTTGGGTACCCGGGTAGAGGATGGGGTGAGGTAAGGAAAGAAATTCTTCTTTACTAAATTTTAGCATTTAATTATTTGCATGTTTTTTTTTTTTTTAAAAAAAAAAGAAACTATATATATATATACATATACGACATGTGGCATAAGAGGGGTGTTTTTAAGTTACTTAACCAAGTAGAGGGGTGTATTCAAGGCTGTCAATAGTTTGTGGACTAAAGTAATAATTCACATCAAGTTTAGGGGTGCTTTCAATACTTGTCTCTTCAGTAATTTACTTAGTTGATCCAATATATGATCAAAGTTTTGATGACTTACATGTAAAGAAGTTTACTGGAAACAACTTAATCAATGCCTAATAATAACAAGTAGTTTATAAATGTCTGGTATTATTTGATTACGAGAGAATTTTGTATTATTTTTGTGTTCTAGCAATTTGGCCCCTTTTCTTCCAGAGTAGATTCTTCCATGAGTTTATAAAAGTGCTTTCTTTATAAAAGAAAATGTACGTTTTCAATTTCTTTTGACATTATAGCACTACTATGGTCCTTGAGTTGAGGTTTATCTGAAACAATATCTATATCTCAGCAAGGTATGGATAGGGTACGCGTATACTCTACCCTTTCTAAACCCTACTTGTGAAATTATATTGGGTTTGTTTATTAATGTTGTATAACTTGAAGTTGATTGGTGTTTATCTGCATTTTGAAGGCGATAACAAGCTTTTCATATTTTGTGATGATATTGTGGAGGCTAACCATCTAAGCTAGCTAGGACTATCGTGTATACTATTCGAAACTAATGACATATAATTGGAGAGTATATTAAACGTATTGAGATGTAACTTTTTTTCTATGTTCTAAGGTGCCAAACAACCTGATACAATACATTAGTTTGTACTACAAACATATTGTACAAAATCTTTTATGCTTCTTATTTTGATATTGAATTGAGAGGATTGTTCGCTATTGACACACACAAAATATACTATGTAAATAGTTTGAATTCGGTTACAGGTATACACCTCAAAATAATTTTCCATATAAAGAGAAAATTTCAAAAAGAGCGAACACAATAGACATATTAAGACTTTGTAGCTATAGATTCAATAATTGCACTCCATAGCTATAGTTTTGTTTGCTATGAAGGTTGTGGTTTGTAGATATCTGCAGTAACTCAGAATGAAGTTGAGTAGAAAAATCTCCAGGATTGAAAAATAATGTTTTAACATATATATAGCATGAGAGAAGGAAAAAATAAATAAGTATGTATAGTTGATAAGATTAATCAGAACAGAATAGTGAAGTTTTTTCATAGTCGAGATTTGTCATTATTCTATTTAAGGGGCAAGTATTATTGCTTCAAGTTTATAGCTCAGTTTTGAACAAGTGACAAATGAAGCTGAGAATAAAAGGGGGAGTGCCTTTGAGGAAGGTGCAAAAATCAAGGAAGAAATAATATGAAAAGTTTTGGGCAGGGAAAGATGGGAAGCTGCACTACAAGAGCTTGAAATTATGAGAAGCGGACTTGTTGATGTTACTATGACAAGTAGAGACAAGCAGTTGAAATTATAGATAACAAAGTTAAGTTAAAGCAGCTCAGGCTTGCAAGAAAGTGAAAAGGAAATCTCAAAAAGGATTTGAAATGGATCATTCACCTTGTGTAAGGATATGCAGTTGCAGAAATGGGAGGAGATACCTACAACAATCTCAGAAAAGGTGAGTATTATTCATGTGATTGAAGAAACAGACAAGTTAGCAATCTTCATTTTTACAAAACAAAAGGAAGGGCAGATGCATGCATTATTACATGCCTGAGCTAGGTACGTTTCAATATATAGATTAATTAAGAAAATAAATCAAGAAGCAACTACTTATACAATTTCATCAAAGCCACACCCTTCATTGATATTTGGGAACAAAACTACAAACCCTAGATACGATGAAATATGGGCAATTATTATGGGTATTTGTTAATAATTTCGAATAAAGATTTGCATGCTAACAAATCAAGAAAAATACCTGTGCGGGGGATATTGAAAGGTGTTTGCTGAATATGAAAGTAAGGCTTTTTAGAGAAGAGTGTGCGTCTGAATTTGAAATATTGGAAGACAACAGAAGAGAATCTTGTATAGACTTGTTAACATCTTCAATTTAATCTTATGATTGAGTTTAGTTGTCCGAACTAGACAAGTATGTACGACCAGAAGCAACAGCCAAGTTTAAAGTAGAAAATTCCAGTCCTTATTAAGTGAATTTCAACGCATATAATTCAAGTAGCATTGCAATAGTCTTGAGTGATTGTAAAATTTTACCAAATCAAGAATGTGGGATTGAAAACACAATGTGTACTTCGTATCATATCACTCAAAAACCAATTAGAATAATAATGATATTTAGAAAATACTTGGTCGGGAAAGGCTTCTCTGGACTACCCCCTAAAACTTCATATTTCGCTTCATAGCATCCAGTACCTCTCTCTGAAATTTTGCTGAATTATTTGTCTTCACGTTTGAGTATTAGCTTGATCTTGACTGGTTAAAAGTAACGGCACAAGTAAAGATGATAAGTTGTACTTAATCCTGCAGCAACCAACAAAAGGAATGGTTAACCATATGTTAGTATCTCCAGGAATTAAAATGCAAAAGTGGATGATAATTTTTACTAATATCAAAATAAATGACAAAGTAATAAGCTATTCAACATGAATCTTACCGGTAGGTAGGCTGCCACAAACTTCTCTGGTTGACATCAGGTGAAACTATTTTAAATGGAGAACCCCTATTAAAACAATGCCAAACACATTAGCATCTTTCAATAACTTGCTAACTAAAATAATATTCAAAAGGAATTGGATGAGTGATCGGTCTAGTGATGTATGCTTAAGTAAAGCCTGTATATGACCACCTCAAAATAAGCTTACAGCACAAGCATATGGAAGACAGACACCGGGAGGAGGATGCAAAAAGCCCAAATAGTCACAAGAGCCAACGATTTTAGTTCACGACTAGTTCTTAGCTTGATTGAACTCAGCATAGTTAGAGATTAGAGGAGATAGCCCTTTCTATTGCTTGAGTGGAATCAATTGACAAAAAGCTCGAACGTAATTGACTTCTTTCTTAACTTAAATAAAGGAAGAGATGATTTGGAGAATAATTCATTCCTCTCCAAGCAGTGAAGTGCCATATCCTAGAGAGAGGGCTTTACCGGTCGTTAAGATAAGAGTTGGTGTCGGTAGCTGTTTCTGTGATGAGTTTTTCTATTTTATTTTAAGTCGGAATAGGTTGGGATGTACAACTCAAACAGAAGTATAGATGGAAAAAGATTGCAAACATACCTGAGGAGGATCAAATTTAGCTCCAAGGTTGCTCAGGCTAGCATGTGCTTCTGCATAATCTTTGAAAAATGCGTCCTGATCTACAGCATACTTCTCTGCATATTCCTGCAAGCACTTAAAATTGTAAATAGAAACAAATTCAGATTGTAATGATAGATTCATGAAGCTGGTGTATACTATTCCACCTTAAATGAAGGATCTTCAAAAAGAACAGCATCGGTTGGCAAAACTAGCAGATCGTTGTCTCGTCTCTCTTTAATATCCTATACCAATAATTTTAGGTGAAGAATGAGAACAAATAAGTCAGGTTGTTACTTCAGACTTCTATACATATTATCATATCATCACAAAGCACACCTTAAAGTAGGAATTGTCAAATTTCAGCCACTGCACGGTCCATGATTGCCCTCCTGGGGCTCCTGGTCCATCTTTCTGCAATGCAAAATAGAACAGTTCAGGCACCAAACTCGTTAATGTCGCAGAAATCAGCTTTCACGATTGGTAATTGCACCGAGGAAAAATGTGAATATCTGGTTTCTTTCAGGATCACTGAAGAAGGAAAAGCACCATGGTGTAGAGGAACACAGCAAGTCAAAAAGAAACATGAGAAAAATATAGATGTCAAACGCAATGCAGCCACATCATTGTCATTGGTGCTAGAATACTACTATGCATTCAGAATTCAAGTTCCTCTCTGATTTTCAAAATCAAGTTAACTTGCCTAAATTGTAAAATTAAACCAACAAGAACCAAAGAGAGAATATTGTTGCCAGCGAAAAGAAAATATCAATGAATGAGAATGACAGAAAGGAGGTGCTTAAATCAACATTGAACAATGAGATTCTCGATCTCATGCTTAATATTTTTAAGCTCTGCAAGTTATTAATCAAAAGCGTTTTCTTTGAAGAACACACCGGTTGAATTAGAGGGAGGGGTAAAACCCGGCAGCAATTATCAGTGAAAGATACGACATCACAGTAAAAAAAGTTTCACAAGGAGATCAACAGAGAGCATAGTCGGTTCCTGCATTTGCTTTCTTGTTTACAAAATCTCAAACAAATCAAGCTAAAATATTAAGAAACAACCATTCTGCAAAATCTAAGTTTGATTAAATTTTTGATGTTGTGCACACCTTAATGCTCATTGCTCAAATGTCATGGAACATATACATAAATGAATTGTTTGGCAGCTTTCTTATATTGTTATTTGATGATAGTTTATTTCAAATTCAGATATTTCTATTTTCTTGTGAAAAGTACTTCTACAATTAATTCTATGTAAAAAAATTTTACTAATCTACTGTAATAAATATAGTTTTCTCAACATAAGAGCATCAATCCAATAGTATGTTTGACATAGTTCATAGATCTACACCTACAGTCACTTGAATTGAAAATATCTTATCAAACTTATGCCAGGAAAACATGTGTTTTGACAACAGAGTTGCATGAATACCTAATTTTTTACCGAACTTGAATTTTACACCTTTATTAGTGTTTAAATATTTTCTAGCGTTAATCTTCACTTTTTAACTCAAATTTCATTTTTAGTTAGTTTTTAACTGAGAAAATTGTAAACCAAAAAAATTGCCATGCTTTTTAGATGTAACTTTGTTTTCATTTGCAATAGAAGAAAAGTACAAAAAAAATGTTTTTCTTTGAATTTTTCCAAAAGTCTAGCCCTTTTTAATATATTTTCCCAGTCTAAAAATACTTGGCTAGCATTTTAATTATTACAACAACATACCCAGTGTAATGGGTCTGGGGAGGGTATGATGTACCCAGACGTTACCCCTAACCTTTGTAGCGTAGAGAGGTTATTTCTAGTAAATGCTCAAAAGATAGCATTTTAATTATTAACACAAGAAAATCAAAAAATTGAGACCAATAAGAGCTTGTCACTTGTACCCAAGGGTGTGGCCTAGTAGCCAATGAAGTGGTTGAGAGTCATGAGGTCTCAGGTTCAAATCACACTAGAAACAAGAAAACACTCGGTGATTTTTTCCATGTGTCCTAGATGGAAAAATTTGCATGTCGCTCGTGAGTGTTGGCAGATATCCCATAGAATTAGTCGAGTTGCGCGAAAGTTGGTCCGGGCACCACAAGCAACCATGATCATTCAAAAACTCACGAGCTGACAGATATCCCGTAGAATTAGTCGAATTGCGCGAAAGTTGGTCCGGGCACCACGATCGTTGAAAAATAAATAAATAAGAGCTTGTCACTTGGAATATTCTTTCCAGTCCAATTCAAATCATATTCCACAGATTTGATTCATATTCCAATCTTTTACCTCCATTTGTTCTTATTCAATACACATGAGTCTTTTCGAAATTATCCACAAAAAGAGGATACATTTAGACCTAAATCTGGACAATATATAAACTAAGGCCTTAATTTTTTTTGCACTCAATGAAGGCTTTAGTCTTAAATTATTCGGATCTCAGTTATTAAGAGATTGTTTGGATTAGCTGATTAGCATTTTTAAGTGCTTAAACGAATTTTATAAATAAGCATTTACGTGTTTAGATAGAAGTGCTTAAACTATTAATAATGTGTTCTGTAAAAAGTGCTAATAAGTGGTCTTTAGTTAGAATGACAAAATGTCCTTAAATTTTTACAAGAAATATTTTTCCGTGCAAAAAAGGAGGAATGGTGGATATGGAGTGAAGAGGAAGTTTTGTTTTGAAAAAGATATTTTTTTAAAAAAATTAAAGATAAAATAGTAAAATACTTGGTCAAACCAAAAGTGCTTATAAGTTGAAAAGTCATAAGTTGGTCCCAACTTATGACTTTTGGCTTATAAGCACTTCAATGTTAACCAAACGCATAGAAAAGTTAAAAAGAGCTTATAAGGCAGTTTGACCAACTTATAAGATAAGAGGGTGTTTGGCTTAACTTATAAGCTAATCAACTTGGCTTATAAGCACTTTCTAGCTTAATAATGCAATTGGTAAACACCAATGTACTGACAAGCCCAAATCAGTCGAAGTCACAAGTTTATCATTCCCGACTAATGATTTTTCAGCTTATAAACACTTTTGGTTTGACCAAGTATTTTACTATTTATCCTTTAATATATCTTCCTAATTCTCAAAATATCTTTCCCAAAACAAAACTCCTAACTTCCTCTTCACTTTGTATATGTCGTTTCTCCTTTTCTTTATAAATAAACTTTTAAATTTATAACTTTTTGCAAAAATTTAAAGAGTTTTTTTAGTCATTCTAACAAAAGAACAACTTATCAACACTTATTTTACCATTTCAACACTTCTATCCAAACACGTAACTACTTATTTACAAAATCAATTTAAGTACTTAAAAATGTTTTTCAACATTTAAGCTAATCAACTAATCTAAACGTGTTCTAAGTCCATTAGTTTTTTAGGTATGAATCTTAATCATTAAGTGTTTTTTCTTTAATATTTTACAACCACTTAATGTGCCTTAAATTTTAATAGGTCTGAATGATTAAGATTTGTAATGAAGTCTTAATATCACTAAAATGTCTATTCAAAAGTTTCTACAAAGATGGCAACTATGTTGCTCAGACTTTCCAAATTGTTGCCATACTCGTGTAGGATCCTCCAAAAATGCACTACTTTTGGAAGATTCAACATGCACCTATCGACATTTCAAAGACTCCGAGAAACAAAGGATGGCAGTTCACCAATTCATGCTACAACCATCACCCACCATTAACAACTACTGTCGTCACCGTCCATTATTATCAACTGCCATCACCCTACCACCCACACCATCAAGCATTACAATCAACTATCACCATCATTAGCCATCATTTACCATCATCAGCTACCACTATCATCCACCATACTCTCAACCACCGCCACTAACTATAACTATCAACCACAACTGTCCACCACTAGGTACTACACACAACACCATCATTAGTCAATATCATCCCCAACTGGCATCCACAACAACCACTACTAGTCATCACCGCTAGCAACCACCATATAATCTTTTAAGAATATTTTGTTGATATAGTATTAGATTAATTTTCTTTTAGCCCAGGGTCTATTGAAAATAGTTTCTCTACCCCACAAAAGTAGGCGTAAGGTCTACATACATCCTACCCACCTCAGATCCTACTTGTGGGATTACACTAGATATGTACAGTAGCAACAGTATTAGATTAATTTAGTACGAAAAACAAATTCCAAAAGAAGCATTCCACATTTGATTGTTTTCTCCCTACCTTCCAACACACCTTAACTACACCCCCACACAGGTAGACCCCATCCCCACCACCCCTACATCTCATAGTATTTGTCTAAGAATATATACAAATACTTTTAGGATAATATTTTTTGCTTATGATTGAACACAAGAAAATAAGTAAGAAATGCACTTACTTTCTTGAAAAATATTTCCTTTCATTGCGAACACAACCATAAGGAAAAATTCAAGGGTAAAAATATTTTTGTAAAATTTTTTCTATTGCTAATGAAAACAAAAGTTACATCTTAAAGAGTGACTATTTTGTGATTTACAAAAAAAAACCTACTCAAAATAAAATAAAAGTTAAAAAGTCAAGATTAACCCTAGAACATATTCAAACGCTAAAAAAGGTGCAAAATTTAGGTTGGGTCAAAAAAATAGGTGTTAACAAGTTGAAACTTGACATTTGGCATAAGAGGAAGCATCCATGTATAATAAAGCATTATAATCACCTCCTATGCACACATATCAACACGGAAAAGCATTCTGACATTTCAAAAAGTGCCCTTTCTATGTTGATGTTTCTCATTAAACCAAGTCTTTATTGACTAATATTTTTGAAATAGTATGTTACCGTTCTCAAAATAAATAAAATGAAATAGATTTCCTTACTTTAAAAGAATGCCTCAAGTCTCAACTTGTTGATAACTAATACAAACATCAGGTTAAAGGACAAATACCGTATATTTTGTTTCTGGCTTGCCCCAACCACTACGTTCAGGTCTTGATCTCCCCAAAGTGTGAGCCCCAGAAAGTGCAACAATTTCCTGAAAAACCAAAATCTGACTAACATACCACAAGAGAAACATTAAATCACGAAGGAAATGAATTTGTTAGCATAGATTACCTTATCATTTAGTCCCATCCTGTAGAAGACATCACGCAAATGAGCAGCAGGGGAAGGGGGACCAGCATCTAGTGTCATCAAAAGTTAAGTTAGTTGAAAATACGAAATAAAAGGTACACTGCTCCTTATTATAAGATACTATTAATTATTAAAAGCACAAGGGTAAGGCTCGGAAATAGTTAGGGTGAAGACAAGCAGACTCATAATAATGGGTCATCTACTCATACAACAAACTTCAACTGCAGATACGTCTCTCCTCCAACATGAGAGTTGAATACTCAGATTAAAGCATTACGAATGACATGAAAAAGCATCTAAGATCAGAAGAAATAAAACATTCTGGAAAAGAAAGCTGCAAGTCCTACACTAATAACACCAATATCATCTTAACCAAGTACATCACCCAACAACCACAGGCTTGTACGACAACTACACCTGAGGTCGGCATATGAATTCTTATTAACATAATTCACTCTATCTGGAACCATTTCATCCAACATTCACTAATTTGGGTTTATCTAACACCAGAGATTTTCTACATTTTCTACTAACATACAAATCTCTTGACAAAAAAAGGCTCCTACAAGTACCAACTCTAGGCCTAATGTAAGCACTACGCATAGCATCTTGATTAAGATTTAATTCCAACTAGTCAGTGTTGCCTGTATGGATCTTTTGCTTCTATTCATCCAGATTTTACTAAATTTGCATTAATTCCAAGATATTGACAGCCTTCTGTAACAACTCTCTTTCATGTTATGTTAGGTCTATTTTGTCCATTTTTATACCTTCGATTATCATGGTTCACACCTATAAACCGGTGCATTTGAAGGTCTACATAGCACATGATCAAACTATTTAAATAACCTTCTCTCATTTTATTTGGTGTGGCTGTGCCACTAGAATGTGATCCTTTGTGATTTTGTCTAATTTGGTCCAAAACACATCTATCTGAGAAGTCCTATTTTGCAACACTCATCTTGTGTATATGTTGAACTTAGAGGCCTAACTGCCGCTCCAATATAACATGGTTGATCTTCTAATTATACCAATCCCTCTGTCCCATTGTATGTGGCACGTTTTCTTCTATATTTTGTCCAAAAAAGAATGATACACTTGTATATTTAGAAAAAGATTTAACTTTAAATTTCTCATTTTACCTTAACAACATGATTATATAGTCATAAATGTCTTTGACATATTTTAGACCACAAATTTCAAAAGTACTTTTATTTCTAAATCTTATGCCCAATCAAATTCCGCCACATAAATTAGAATAGAGGGAGAATAACACTTTTCATTCACTTCGGTAGGTATCATCTGATCTTATCACTCCTACATTTCAACCACCTAATTTTATTATTGTGTATTATATCTTTATCTATCATACCACTCTACTTTACATACATTATACTTTATAGATATCTAATTTTTGGAATTTAGACACCAAAGTACCTTCTAATCTCACCTCAACTTCGCTCACTCTTATGCTGGCTAAACGTGCAGTGCATACACCCTGTCTTCTACTTATCCTTAAAGTGTTATTCTCTTAAGTGTTTCTCCATAGTGCAATCTTTTGGTTGACACCCTCACTAGTTAAGTCAATTAACACAATATTTTAGACCAAGAAATCTCATATTGGATGCCGTCCATAATTAGGGTAAACAAGTACGATATCAATTTAGATCACTAGTGTAAAATCCATGATAATGAGAAACTCCTCTAAATCTCCCCCCATACTCATTACTCTCATACTTGTAACTGCTCCTTCGTAGATATCCTTTTATGGTATTTATCTTGATATGACTTCTTTTCTTCTCCAATACACCCAGACTTGTGTCAATATATATATATATATATATATATTACGTACGTAAAGATGCACGGTAGCAAACTAAATTCTATAAGTCCTCAGTTGTTACTATATTATGCAAAACCCAATCTGAAAAGATTTGAAAAAATCTAAAAGTTCCTGTCGCACGATGTGGAACTATTGCAACTATGAATTTGATGATTGAATATATATAGTAATTTAAGTTATTTCTCTATCATAGTGTGTGTTTTGTGAAGTGATATGTGTGAAGCTTCAGAAATTATTGTGTTTTGTGAAGTGACTATGTTTGCAGCCTTCAGAAATTAAGTGTGAGTAGTAAGGATCATAAATCTACCTGTGTCTTCTTAGATATTACAGCTACGCTATTTGAACATTATGGTTCTTGTTTTTCTTTGGGGAATAAGGTAAACATTATGCTTGAAGTTAATTTGATCATTGTAGCTGAATTTTCTCTACAGAAACCTTAATAAGTCTCTCAAATTCCCCTTGCATCTCTAAGGTAATATGGTCACAATAGACCTAGATGATAACCCTCTTCTTCCTCTTTGATCCCTATATAAACACACACCATCTCTTTTGTATCTCTAGGTACCTGATGAAGATTAAAAGTATTAGTAGAAACAGACTATCATTTTATAACTAGAAATCTCCGAGGGGCAGTGGAGCAAGGTTCAAAACTAGGTGGATAATGAGCCCTCCCCTCTCCCTTCTCCACTTAACTACCAAGCTTTTGTCCACAGTAAGGTTCGAACCTGTGATGTGTGCCTAACCTACCATCACACACTGCACCATTGGCATTCAAAAATGACAGTATAGTTCCAAAGTTCAAACTACGCCCTTTTTTATAATCAAGATCAAAGTTCAAATGGGTGTAAAATAACAAATCTCACCAGGAAGCCTTCCTTCTTCTGGGCATTGCTCAGGTACGGACACATCCATCCTCCCATATTTCATGGGAATTTTGGGGCCCCCAGCCTCCTATTGTTTTGAAATAAACCAATTAATGTGTGAGCTAATTTTATTGTCAATACTAAATAAGAAAAGAAACTAATTACCTCAATGGCGGTTGCACTGGCCAGCTGGAATAAATCTGCATAAGTCACAGCAGAATACTTGTCCTTGATAGGCTGGAGAAGTTTCAGTGCATTTACAAGTCCTGAGTTGCTAGCTTGTTAGACTAACAAGAAAAGAAAGTCAACAGAATTTGTAACAATGGAGTGAGGACTTACCAGCATTGGCTCCATGTTTCAGTTCAACTTCGAATCTTAAGCTTCCATTAGCTCCACCTCTTTGTGGCCACTCCTCAATATTCTTGTTGTAAGTACCAGCATCGTGCCAGCCCAAACGAACCTGGAACCATTTAGAAGTGTTAAACTGTGTTCTAGATTTCTCCCCAGAGGCATTGGTAAGCATAGTTAGACAAACTTGAAATGAATTCCTTTATTTAGCCAAACGCATCACAATGAATAGCTAATATCATAATAGTTGGAGTGAGTCATACACAGAGAGATCGACAGGTATTGAGAGACCCTCAGCTGCTCAAAAGAACAGAAACAGAAAAAGAGAGTCGAGAAAAACGACCATGTATTAAAACATGATACACAAGTTACAGAGAGACCACAATCATATTACTAAATGAGTACAACACAAAACCTTCAAATTGTGCCAAAATTTATAGTTCACTGACCAAACAACTCGTGTTATCATTGTGCTGACATAAAAGAGGAAATTCAGTATACAATCATCTCTATGCAAACCAAACAACTGAAAGGAGACCTGTAAAGCATTTCTTTGTCCTGTCTTTCCCTAGTACAATCTCAAAGGACTGACAGGTAGTATATAATGGCAAAGATTCATTTGGCCGAAGCACTCATCCAAGCTTCGTAGTATCTACAAGGATATTCAGTTTCATATTCCAAAGGGCAATTTTTAGAACTATTATTAGGTTGGTCTTAACCTGCTACAATGTAGCTGATGTAACTTTGTTCACTCTCTTATTCATTCCACTCGCTCATCTTTAGTAGTGAGGGAGATAACATCAGGAAATAAGATAAAGTACCATTGATTTGAGCAGAAGACATATCACTTCAGCTCAATCAATGCCAAAAGTTGGCTGGTGCCTCATCGAGCGGTTAGAAGCATTTGCACGGAGCTTTCATTTTCTGATTCGGAGTCTGTGTCTCATGTTTTCTCTTGAAAATTTTATTCTTCTCTAGGTATTGCCATTAAAACAAACTGATGTCGATGAAAATTGGCAAGTTCATTAGTTTACACTTTGCAGGTGATGTATTCAAGTTCAATCATTCACAGGTTTATACATATTATAAACAGTTCTGGTCAAATACCAAAATAGATCAGAAATATACCAAAATAGGATGACAAAACTTAGTGTTCAGTAGCTCTTTGATGTCCTCTCTCGCACTTTTCAACTGATCGGGATCAGAGGCAGCTGATTTAGCCGATGCTACAGTACTGAAACTTCCACTAGATACTCGAACCAATGATTGCTTCTACAAAAACAATAATCGGGAGAAAAACATCAATAAAATGCTAAAATAGAATTCAAAATGCGTAACGAAAAGCGAAGGAAGCACTGAACAACCTGGTAACGAAACACATGGGATAAAAGAGGAGATGATTTGGGGCACTTTAGAGGAGAAACAGAAGATGATGAAAAATAGAGTCTGGCAGTAGTTCTGGAGACGGTAAATCTGGCGGCCGGGAGGAGACGAGAGGCGGCGCCGGTGAGAGAAGCCATTGAAGAAAGTTTGCTGGTGAAGTGAGAAAAAAAAAATGAAAGAGCCGATGGGTGCGTTTTCTTTTATTTTGGGTAGTGTGGCATCTATTGGACCAGCCGTCGAGCCAACCTTCAATAAATTCGATTTTGCTACCAACCCACTAACTAGAGAATGTTGAAATGACACTCCCGCCCATGCAAAATTCAAAAGATATACTTACTGTATATGATTTATTTGATACGTATAATTAGGGGTGTGCACTATTTGGATTAAATCGAATAACCAAACCAATTAGATCGAATTTTTATTTGGATTGGTTTTTTGGTTTTTCGGATTGGTTCTGGATTAATAAATTACTTTGTTTGGTTTTTTGGTTTGGTTTCGGATTTTAAAAAATAAAAACCAAAAAACCGAATTATATATATATATAATGTTTAGTTTTAGAATTAAGTTGGAGTTAACCACTTTTGTCTCTTTTTGGTTATTGTCTTTCATGATGATTACGTTTATATTTTATGTTTGAATTACATCTATAATAGGTATACTTATAAGTATTGTGTTTTAAGTTTTACTTATGATTTATATTAGAAAGAATATTTAAGGGATTAAATATTATTACTTTGGTTATATATGTTATTAATTATTGACATAACCGAATAACCAAACCAAAAAAAGCCGAACCGAATAGAGGAAAACCAAACCAAACCAAATTTATTTTGGATCGGATTGGGTTACACTTTTTACAAAAACCAAAAACCAAAAATCCAAACCGAATAGTAGTAAAACCAAACCGAAAAACCGAATGCACACCCCTACGTATAATACGAACAGGGGTGTAATTAAATTAAATTTGGACGGTTCATAATGGATCAAGATAATAAATGAGTCAAGATTTAATTCAATTTAAATGTACTTAGGTTAAAATAGATTGGATTAAAATTTAGGTAATGTGTTTACTACGGGTCAAGATTGATCCAATCCAATTTTTATTAAATTTAATTATTTTATTTGTTCTTTTAAAATATTTTAGTACCTAATAGAATTATTATTTTCTTTATTATGACTATATATAACATATCAAATTTTAAAAAGTTTTTTAAAAAATATTTTGACAAGATTTCTCATAAATCAATTTTGAATTACATATTAACTCAATTTTTAATGGGTTGAAATAGATTGAATCAAAATGGATTGAGATAATAAATAGACAGGTCAATAACGTGCCCAAATATGAACGTAGTGGACAAGTTAGACAACTTAAATTTGATTTTACCGCCCCTAAATATGAATACATAAATAAACCGACTCCACGAGTTGCTCAAGAGTAGGTTAAGTGTAGGCTTCCAAGATACAAGTACAATTTCATAAATAAAAAAAAGTTCATATTAAATTGAATAGTATATTTATCTTTTAATTAATCTAATTTTCTTCTTTTATGTATAGTTTTTAATTAATTTTAATTTCTCATCTTTTTAAATTAAGTTATTTGATCCTCGGTATAAGTGTCACAAAGTTCAAAACTCGATGGATAGTAGCCTAAGATAATGATACTCGTTGACAAAATATATTTAAAAATATAAACACCATTCTGTATAAAAATGTATATTTTATTATATTATATATTAATATATGACAAGTATATATTCACTAACTATTATTTATGTGAATTTCTCTAGGTTATATAGGGGAGAGTATGATATCATGACGTGCGTCTAACTCACATATCATGTGTTGCGCTCTTACCTTTAAATCAGGCTTTTGTTATGAATTTAGGCAAAAAAAACTTAAATTTTGTAATATATTTTGATTTTAGGTCGTCAAATTTATTAGATGTTGACACTAAATGCATGTCTTGGCATCTTTAGAAGAGAAAAAATATCGAGTAGGATGGGTGATAACTGATAAGTTTTGTCTTCGATACTTCCTATTGTCTCTTCATGTTTTCTCTAGCACTACTTCAAAATAACATAATTGTAGAACGAAGTTTTATTTCCAAAGAATTAAGTCCGTATATATCCGTTATATTGGTGAACAATTTTTGGGTTTATAGTGTATTCAATTTCATTTTATTATCTACTTATCAATAACCTAAAATAAAATGGAATAAATTTATTTTGCAACACATTCACATTTTATTTCTATCAATTTATATATTTTTAAAGAATGATTTTGTGCACGAACCGTCTTATATTCATGCAAAATTCGAAAAAAAGAGTCTCAGAAAGGGTGTAAGGTAGGGAGAGACGACTGGAGGGGGAAGCAACGTCCCTCAAAATTATAGCCCCAAAAATATTTATTTTTTTATAATATTTATGATATACTCCGTAAAATTGTTAATAAAAACTACTATTATTTTTATATTTCGTTTTCAAAAAATGTGATAGAGGTATGGAAATTAAGTTAAGTGTTTTGACATAATTTTATATTTTATAAGTATTAAATTAATTGTTTTGAATTTTATAATAAACATGCAATGTATGGAAATGAATAATTCAATAATTTTCTCAAAAAAGGAAAAGGAAATTATAACTCGATGATGACTTTGATATTTTAAAAAATGAAGTCTATTGTAGCATCTTTTCGAGTAGATTGTTTCTTAAAAAGAGTGGATTTAAGTCATTTTCACTTCAAAATAAGCTTAACTTATTCTGAATATATGAAATTATTTTGAGATCTACTTAGTTGTGAGATTCTTAAATTATGTGAATTTATGAAAGCCATCTTAATGGTTAATATATATTTTTATAAAATATTATAGTGTGACCCAGTATCTCCAACAGTGGAAGCTAGTAGTGATAAAGTGAGTGTCGTAGGGTAATGCAAGTACTAATAGTTGATTTCACGACCCGAACTCGTAATTTATAAGTCACGTTAAGATAATTTTACCGTTATATATATATATATACATTTTTCAATTACAAAAAAAAAGGTTATATTTACTAAATACCAACTACATAGTAACAAACATGTACTCTTTACATAATTTTTTATTTAAAAAAAATAAAAATGCTAATAGTCCATTAACTTGTAATATTGCATATTCTTCATCCACCTTGGGCCTTGGCAAATTAAAGTTTCTATAGCCCATAGGAAAGCTTAATTTGCTACTCTTTGAGAAATAGCCAAAGATGTAGCTTTGGAAATGTTAAACAAGTAGCCTTTTTTTGCTCATAATTCACCAACTCCTTGACTTTTGACTACTTGGAGAATAGGTCCAAAAGTATGATCCCTTTTTCATCAAATGACATCGGTCATGTATGCAATATTTGCATTTTCCATGACTTTGAACGTGTGTGTGATGACGAATATGATGAATTTAGCTAGTTTGTTATGTCTAAGAAAGTATTTCGTATGACGTGAATGCTTGTAATATAGTTAATATATTGATGTATACGTTATTTGTCTGCGGGCATCTTGAGAAAGGCCCTCGAAGCCAAAAAGACCAAAAATAGTTATATGAAAGACAAACTTAAATTTAATTTTCATGATAAAGGTATTTTGGACCGGCTATTATAACATTCTAATTGAAACTTTCATTATTTGAAAGACAAACTTAAATTTAATTTTCATGATAAAGGTATTTTGGACTTTATTGCTTTCTTTATTTTTTTTAGTCATATCGTTATTTAAGCCATAGTTAATGATATTTTAGACAACAAGATTAAAAACTGTCAATTTAAGGGGCAAAAATTAAAAATAAACGCAAAATAGGAAGATCCGTGCAAAAACTTGTTTGAACGGCTGATTTGTGATTGGGCTAATTTGAATATGACCCAAATGAACATATCATCGAATCATTTTGCCCAACTCATTAAGATTCCCAACTTTGCAAAAATTGTCAACTTTTCTTCTCATTTCAAACCTGCGCTTTGAAAGGCAATTTACCTTACTTCTTACCATTTTAGTTGAACCCGCAACAAAGTTAGTGTTGCTTTTGTGGGATCAATTGCTCATTTTCAATATAGAATTGAATAATGAAAAATTGCGGCAAGAGATAATTTATAACCTTGCAGATAGAGAGGGATTTGAACTCTTGTATTTTTAAAAATAATTTGATTTTCAAAACCGACTCTTTCAACTGCTCAGACATCTATCACTTTCGCGCTACGCTCGCCCTATCCATCTGCGCTCGCAATTTGACGAACAAAAGCATTTCTAACCCAAAACTTGTTTTATCATCTAAGTTAAATTTAGTTATTTCAACCATAAAATTGTATCTAAACTTTAAAAACATGAATTATTGGTTATTTCCTAATTCCTATAGCACAGGAGTAGTGGTGACAAATGAGAGGGTTGGGTTAAATTTGGATGGGTTGAAAATGGGTCAACATAAAATGGGTAATAATTCAACCCGCCCATATTTGATATGGGTTTAAATGGATTGGGTAACAAATGAGTTGGGTAAAATACTAGTTTACCCATATTTTCATAGTAAATAGTAGTCTACTTAAGACTTCAAATGGAGAAAATATTTTAGTCTTTTTTTAGATGAAAAATGTTGGAAATGCTTCATTTAGTTTTATTGTATCATAAAAGTAAAAAAAATAATCTTATAACTTTTCAATATAAAATAAATTTATGTAATAACAAGGGGAAAATATTTTTGATTTCATAGTAAATGAATATTTGCATTTTAGGACTAAAACATGCTTAATGCACTTTAAGCAATGTCAATACTAATACATGATTTGCTTATGTTAGACTATTATTTATTATCCAATATAAAATTAAACAAATAAAAATATATAATTATAATTAACAAAAGAAATGTACATTTAAAATATATATTTTTGGGGGGCCAAAGACTTCATCTTTTCAATTATAGAGAAAAATAATTAGTTCTATAAAAGAACATAAAAAAAAGAAAAGGAAGAGAACTTACATTTTTTTCGGGATATCATGAATTTTGAGTGAATAAAAGTTAGAAACTTAACCCATTGGCTAATCCATATTTTACCCATAGTTTACCCATGTTTTTAGGGATTGAATATGAATATTAACACATTTTATCTATGTAAAAAATCACTCACCCAACCTATTAAAATATAAGCGGATTGAACGAGTATGATTGAAGCTAAATCATTACACTCCATGCTATTTGAAAGTGCCATTACATG